TAAAATTGTAACCAATACCACTTGTCCTGTGACTACAGTTCCTGGTAAAGGGTCTCTCTTCAGCTTTCCTTCCCTTCAAAATCTTTCAGGATTTGCCATTCAGGATATTTTATAGGGAAATAAACAAACAAATAAAACCCAAACACCCCCCTCCCCGTTCCAAAACAACCTCAAAAACCTCCCAAAAGGAAAAAATTCTAACTACAAAAAACCCCCAACCAAAGCCCTCCTGTATTATATCCACTAAGAGGCCTTTTCAGAACAATTTTTCTTTCTATTTTACTCAAGATACTTATCCAATTTTAACATGCTTTCTTCATTATTAGTGCTTGGATCAGAACCAGAATTGTTGCACGCTGGCAATAGCCAATAATTTATCTGACTTGTCAGGTTATCTCATGTTGGTGCCTATTTTTTTTTTCCTTAAGGATATTTCTTATTTTTTCTAATGTCTACAGTTTTGGTTGATTAATATGGTTGTCCCATTTCTCATGGTCGAAATTTTCCCTGCTCTCACTTCTGGCTAGTGCCTCTCTAGATTTGCAGATAATAGCCTCAAAAGCAGTAAATGATAAAAGAAAAAGACTTCTCCTGCCTTTCTGCTCTTTTAGCAATAAAAAGCTGTGTGTCAGGAATAGACTAGCTCTATACCAAAAGTTCCAGAGTTTAGCTCTTCACCTTCATAGAGACAGCAGCAAGAAAGGTTAAAAAAAAAAAAAAAGATAGAAAAAACCCAAACAAACAAACAAACAAACAAAAAAAACACACACAAAAAAAACAAAACAAAAAAAACCACAACAACAAATAAATAGTTGTTGGATTTAAGAGAACAAATTTCTTTCAAATTTGTGATCTGTAATGATATTTACACAAATATAAAGATATACAAATATTACATTAATATAGAGAAAATATTATTTCTCTGGAAGCATGATACCTTGTAAACCCCAACACAATGGATTTCTGATATTCTTGCAAAAGACAACAGGAACATAAATTTATTTTCATATGTTTAAAAGGTTCTTTGGCTTCAGAAAGAGGTGCAAGAAAATTAAAAAAAAAAAGATANAATTTCTTTTAAATTGGTGATTTGGATAAATGATTTATACTCAGAGAATACCAGGTTGGATGGAACCCCAAAGATGATGGTCTAACCCTTTTTTGGCAAGAGCACAGACGAGACAAGGTGCCTTAACAGAATAATCTGTAATGATCTTTACGCAAATATAAAGATATACAAATATTACACTAATTTACAGACAATATTATTTCTCTGGAAGCATGTAAACCCCAACACAATGGATTTCTAATATTCTTGCAAAAGATAACAGGAACAGAAATTTATTTGCATACCTTTAAAAGGTTCTTTGGCTTCAGAAAGAGGTGCAAGAAAATTAAAAAAAAAAAGATAAATATGAGTATTCACATCAGCAGTTCTTCTGAAAAAGACAGTAATCAAATTTTATTTGTATCATTATTTTTGAAGTCTTTAAGAAATGAGAAGTGAATATGCCTGATTGTAAAAATTGTGCTTATTAGATGCAAATTCCCTTTGAAGTATGGGGAAATGGGGAAATCCCATTCCAAACAGGATCTTGGGAGAATCTATGTATGATGCTTCCTCTCACAGAAGCATCTGAATAAACTTACATTAATGGTTATTTGGAGGCCCAGGGAAGAGACGAAGAACTGAAAGCACAATATCCATCTTTTTGGTCAAAGTGGGCAGTAGTTCAGTCAGATTACAAGGAGAGAAAATTTGCATTTTACCTTGGCATAAATCAAGCATGTACTTCATTTCATTTGTATCTTCTGTCACTATGCTTGTTATTTGCATTAGAAATATTTTTATTTTTAGTTGCATATTTCTTTCCTCCAGCTTAAATGGTATTGTGAAGTACCTGGATAATAACAAGCATTTGTTACTGAAAGCCACAACAAGGTTTACTAAGTATATTCATAAATATTCAAGCTTCACATTGTATTTCTTGGCCAAAATCTAAGAATAGACATCGATTTCACGTGTCTGAGACAAAGAAAATTATTGCACTGCAGGGGCCAGGAGAATCAGAGCACCACACTGTAATCAAGGCTTCTCTCTGGACAGTTGGATGTGTCCTTCCCTGAAAGTTAGTATGGAGATCATCTTTTCTGGGTTCTGTGATTCCAAAGTGTCTGGACTTGGAGGATCAAAAAATTCCAAGCGTAATGTCACTAGCATTTTTAACATTGTCTTTGAAACATAGTTAATTGGATTGGAATATTTGTCAAAGAGTTAAACATTAGGCAAATGAAAATGAAACAAACTGAAGTATTTCAAACAAAATATTCAACTCTGGTTTTGGTTGTTTCAGGATTTTTTATTCATTGCCCACTATTTCAAATTCAAGCAAGATGTCAAAGATGCAGATGAAATAATTTTTAACCTCAAGCGAAGATAGTAAAAAACAAACACCACAGGATCCTCACTTCATTCTGTTTGAAAACCAAAGGCCAAAGATTTCTGCATCTTAAAGACTGAGGTAGCCCCTGAGGCTGGAGCAGAGTTGTAAAACTAAGCTCAGGAAACTATTCTCTGCAGGAGAGTATTTGGTGATTTTGGAAACCTGCCTATACATAAATACACAGTTGTGATTCTCAGTCGCTTGAAGGAACTCAAGCTAATCTCTGCCAGCTTTTGAATTGCAATTTCAGGATAAGCAGTTCTTGACAAGTTATTTATATTCTCCTGATGTTCACACAAATTGGGCTGAGGACTGATTCCTTGCTATAAAACAGCCTTGATACTCCAGGATAGCAAGATACAATCATTGTCACTTCAACGTTGAAGTCCCAACTTCCATGAAAAACAATAAACTGTGCAGCTGGTGATAACAGCAGTACAACACATTTTCTGTTGCTTTTTTTGCCCATTTTGTCAATATTCAAGTGAACAAAGCTCATATTCAAGTTTATGCTAAAGCATTTTAGTACGATTCATAAGTTGCATTTTGTTCTTCAGCTTTAACCGTGATTAAAAGTTTCCTCTGCCCTTTATGTGATCTCTTCATTTCATGGATATTTTCTTAAGTCAGCACTCTCATACAAATGAAATTTGCTAGAATTTAGCACTTCAAAAAACACACCTCCCTATGAGGTAGAAATAGAGTGGTAAATAAGACTTTTTGATTTTAAGGATCTCTGATTTTTTTCTTATGCCTCTATATCTCTTTGCAAAGCAAAATTTGGAACAACTGTAGCTCCAAGCTGTTGCTTAATATTATTCAATAGTTTTCAACATCAAATAAAACTTTGCAAAAAAGTGTTCTTTTAGTTAGTTATTTCTTTATTTCTTTCATCTTTTTTTTTTTTTTTAATTGAATTTTGCTATACTCACATACCAATACTGCTTAATATCATACTGCACAAGTGCTATTGGTAATGGAATTATTTCAGCATAGGAAACAATTTCCTGTTTTGTGATAGAAATGGAATTAAAATCTCTGATCGCCTTATTTTTTCTAAGCTCTTGAGCAGCCTGGAATTTTAAGACACAAAACTTTTTGATAAATATGTGAACATATAGCTGTATCTTCCTCTATTGGTCTGACAGACAAACTATAGAAGTATTTAGCATGTTATACAAGAAAATAAGGCTCTGTAGGAGGAATGTATTATTGTACTTGACTGCTTCTTTTGCTTTTTCTTGCATTTTCTTTTCAAGTTGTTTTATCTCAAATCATACAATTCTGATAAAAATTTAGAAAAAGATTGGATGAATAAGAAAAATGTTTTTCTATTCCTTAGTCATATTTATGTAGAAGAATTAATCTCACAGATATTTTCAGGTGATGATAAGTGTCTCTTTATTTAATGTGAAATACTATTAATTATGTCTTTCCCTCTCTGAATATTTTTCTACTTCCATCCTTGGCATTTCTATACAAAATTACTTAATTAAAACATCTCAAGGCTTCTTTGGACTGTGGTGCAGCACTGGGACATTTTAAATACCAATTTAACATAAGTGCACTCTTTCCTGGAGAATTATATGCTGAAACACATAGAAAGTAATTGTTAGCCTATTTGTGTGGTTTGATCCACATGAAAGGAGAGAAGCATCTTATGGGTTGTTGATGGTGCTATTTTCTTTAAAAAAAAGACACCAAAGTAAGAGGAAAAAGTTTTTTCATTGATTCGTAGAATATGGAATAAATTCATACTGAGATTTACTCTTTAGTTACAGAACCATAAGAAAACAAACAGAAAGAGAGTGTTTCTTAGGGAATGAGATAACATTTGGTGTTTTTTTTTTTTTATTTTCCTATAGCTCAGGAAAACACATACAGCTTTGTGAAACTTCCAGTATTGTGCTGGTTCTGCACAGGATAGAGTTAATTTTCTTCATGGTTACTGGCATTGGGCTGTATTTTGGATTTTTGATAGAAAAAGTGTTGATAACACAGGGATGCCTGTTATCACTGAGCAGTGTTTGCACAGAGCCAAAGCATTTTCTGCCTCTCACACCACCACACCAGCGATTATCCTGGAGCTGCACAAGGAGTTGGGAGGGGATATCAACTGGGAAAACTGAGCCCAACTGACCAAAAGGATATTCCATAATATTTGCCATCAGGTTAAGCATATAAATAAAAGCTGAGTGAAAAAAGTGGGGGGACATTTGGAGTGGTGACATCTGTCCTTCCAAATCGGCACTACATGTGATGGAGTCCTGCTGTCCTGGGGATACTGAACACCTGCCTGCCCATGGAAAGCAGTCAATGAATTCCTTGTTTTGCTTTGTTTGTTGTGAGCAGCTTTTGTTTTCCCTATTAAGCAGTCTTTATTGCAACCCAAGTTTTATGACTTTTTAAGTTCTCTCTCCATGCCAAGAGGCTGTCCAGAGCTCAGTTGCCAGCTGGAGTTAAACCACATGTGTTTATGGCATAAAATATCTGACAAAACATGACTTTGTTCTCATGACTGGCATTTTGATCTAACCATTTCATGCCCAAATTCTGAGCATGTTGGTTAGAGCATGGTCCTGGTGTTAATAACACCAGGGCCATGGGTTTGGTCCCTGTATGAGCTATTCACTTAATACTTGGACTTGATGATCCTTCTGGTTCCCTTCCAGCTCAGACTATTCCATAATTTTGTGATTATGTGTCTGAAGTATCAGCCATATGTAGCACAACAGACTCACAGACAAAAAGCAGATTGGCTAGTGTGAGCAATAAAATCAAAACCAGAATAAAATAGGCAGTAAAATTTCAGAATAGCTTACTTGATATCAGAAAAATGAAAATACAAGTCAAACTAGTTTATGTGTGAAACTCAAATATTTATTTGCCGCACCAGTCTACAAACTATCTAGGAACTATTAAACATATGCTGTATGCACACATTTCCTAAATAAATCCGTCAAAATTATACGCAAGAAATGTTCTCATATTTAACACAGGAACTAAATTTTCCAAGAAAACAAAGGGTTTCTCACCACAGTCCTAAAGTCACAGCCTAGAGCATCCTCTGTTTTCTAAACAGCTTTGGGTTCTGAGGGTCAAGTTTGTCCTGGTTTCCTTTTGCAGAGATCCTTAATGGGCTGGGATTATTCTATGCTTTGAAGCCTCTAGAATTAGCATGCTACTTATTGCCAATGTCTGTATCTTTTTAATCTTCCTTCTGCTGGGTGAAATTAAAAGAGAAAGAACAGGCAGTTGAAGATGTTTCCAGCTTTTGGCAATATGCATCTATACTGTTTAGAAGGTGACAATTCTACTGCCTCCAGAGAAGTTTTTTATTGACTCTACACTTATCTGTGGAATACAAATTACAGGAATTTTAGGGAAAAAACCCAACTAAGAGACCAAGCTGAAGAATACCCACATGTTCACTTTACACTGCAAAATTCCTGATCCAAATTTATTTGGTTTTCCTCATAGATATTTAAAGAATCTTTTCCAATTCAATCTCAGTTTTCTGTAACATATGCGTTCAGATTTTCTGTCTGACCTTGTTGGGTAGTATGTGTCATGTTGTGTTGTGTCAGTAAAGACAAGGTGACTGAAGCTACACAATTTAACATATTAACTACTAAAAATTTCAGGAGCAAACAGAGAAATGCTTTTTCTTCATAGAAAGAGTGTTTTCCAACCTGTTTTTTGTAAAAGCATATTGTTTTCAAATGTCTTGGCACAGGATACAGATGGCTCTGATTTGGTTTTGTTTTGAAATGCTCAGCACATCTCTAATTGCACAAAAACATAATTTAAATGTCTGACTCTGCAAATTTATTTTGTTTTGGCATGAAGTACAGTAGAGGCTTTAGTAGCTTGTGATGGTGGAAAAGAAATTTGAAAGTAAATGTTTTTATGTTAATAAGGAAGAACAGCTTCTCATCACAAAGTGTAACTTCAAAAGTGTTTTTTAACTAGAGGCACTATCAAAAGAAACAGGGAAAGCAGCAGAAAAAATCAACCTTGACCAGAGCATCTGGGCAATAATTTCCATGGGAACAAATTGCTTCAAAATTATTCATTGTTCAGAAAAATCTCAGTATTATTAAAACATATATGTGTGTGTGTGTGTGTGTGTGTGTGTGTGTGTGTGTTTTAATCTTACGTAAAAATGAAGTAGCTTGCCTCTTTCTCAGTAAATACTCTACACTTGCAAAAAGTCTCAGTTATTCAGATTTCTTCTTTTATTACAGATGTAGCCATCTTTTCTTTCCAGGGGTAGCTGAGCCAGTTGAAGATATTGCTCTCCTCAGCTACTCTTTGGAACCTTCTGACTGGAAGTTGCTTTCCATCCTGTCAGGCTTTGAGCGTAGACAATCTTATTTCACTTCTGTTAAAATGACCCAATTCAACATTAGTGATAACACCTTCAGACTTGACTGTCTCTGGGCTGACACTGCACATATTCATATTTGCACTCTCACAAGTCAGAAGAAAGCAACCTCTGGTGTTGAAAGGTTAGTTGAAAATAGCACCAAATAGGACCAAATTAGTTTTGGAAATCTGAATTTCTGTGATATTTATATAGAATAAGTTCACAGTAAATGAACACAAAATAAGTAAACCCCTGCTATGTGACATCTTGCCACTTCAAATTAAATTATTACTTGTTCTTATTGTATCACAGCAGTTATATCCTACCTTTCCTGTCAGATGCTTGATTCCTTTTTCTGTGTTCCTGCAGGCTTAACACCAGCTTTCCAAATCATATCATTATATCATTTATGTCTTTTTTTTCCCTGCTACAAATAAGGCAGGATCAACAAGAGCACTAGCAGTAGTTGGTGCTCTCAAACAATCTATTATTGTAATGGGAAGCTGTGCAGATGTACTTGAACTTTGCTATTTTTCGTTTCAATTTGGATTTTAATAAAGAAAGACTAAATCAACTAACAGCTTGAGTAAGACACTGAAGACAAGATAAAAAGAATTTTACTTTTTTTCTTTAAGGTCTTGAAATGACAGCAAGAATTATTTTTGTTTCAGAATATGTTTTTCTGTAACGGCAAAAAATAAAGACATCTTGAGAAAGAAGAAAGAAAATAGGAACAGCCAAGTGTATTTCAAGATACTGCATTTTGAAGAAAAAATCAAATATAGGGGAAACATGAGAAGGACTAATGTTAGGCTGTCAACATATTTGAGGTAAAAGGCATCATTTTTATTTTCTTATAAAACACATATCTTTATTTCACTGAAAAGGAGGAAAAAACAAGCCTTTAACAAGCACCTAAATAATATTTCATATAACTAAATAGAGTTTCAATCTGCTTTGTACTAAGTGAAGTAGGAGGTGAAGCTGAGTGAAGATGGATTATAATATATCTCCTTTGGTACTTAGTGTAAATTTTCCATCTTATTTCAAATTAAAAGAAAAAGAATTAGGTTATTGTGGGGGAGAGTTTTCTTGGTGGGTTTTGGTGCTTTTTTTGGGTTTTTTTTTCCGGAGCTTTTAGTTTTACATTCATTCTTGGCTGCTTGGCAACTGAGAGAATATCACAATGTAACAGATTGCATAAATGAGATCACTGCATAGTTGTACCTAAGGGAAATTTCTCTGCTATAGTTGATTTAAATTAAAAAATGCTATGAACTCAATTTATCAAGACATTGAAGATACTTCAGTCTTCTGAATAGTCTTGCTGACCTCAGCTGACACCTTTATCTCACTGCCATCCTCTCCTACAGAGGAACGATTTTCTGTGCGAAGAACTTTAAATTATAATGGCATGTAGTACTTTAGATCTTCCTAGATGTGCCAATGGAATGTTATGTAGTGATTCTTCCCTGCCACTGAAAACACACCAGTCTATTGTATAAATCTGGAGTCTCAGTCTTTTGATATGTGCATTGAAGAAAGACTTATGTGAAAAAAAATCTTGTTAAATTGAGTCAAAGGATAAAATGTTAGTACTGGTGGAAAAAAACTGAGGCTCCTTCTGAAGAGCCCTGTAAATTCATTGGTGGTTCAGCAAGCTTAGTTTTTTTCAGTAATGCCTTTTTTTACTCTTTAGGGTGTGATCATGGCTTGGACTTATTTGTATTTTAAAATCTGTTATTACAGGGGTTTTTTTGTTTTGGTTTGATTTTTTTTTTGTTTTTTTGGTTTTTTGTGGTTTTTTTTTTTTAATTACAATTAGTTTTTCTCTAAACTGCATCCACCTGAAGATCAAAGAAGTAAAAAAAAAAAAAAAAAAAAGGAATTTTAAACTCACTCAAATCTAACCTGTGATGTCAAAATATGAAGACCATAAATAAAACAGCCACAAAATGCTGAAAGAACATTTTCTGTGGAGTGTTTGCTGCATGAAAAATATCAAATAGCCAGAAGCTCATGATTTCTATGGTGCATAAATCTAACTACCTGCATGCCATATAAATATTTTTCAGAACAAAATGCAGAATCTTCTGCTAAATCAGAATTTAATTTCTCAAGTGTTCCTTCATCTCAAATCTCCCAGGCTCTGGAGTACTGCTGCATGTATTCGTCTGCTAAGAAACCAAGTGCAAAAAGATTGTGTTGATTGAATCATGCTGTGTTGGAGTTATAATGCAGAGATGGGGAAAAACAAGGTGGAGAATTGGTATTCAAATTGATATCTGGCATGGCAAAGACAGCAAGCATTTTGAAACTGTTTACACCTGGAAGAAATATAAGGATGTCTATGCCAGAAGCTGGCCACTAGGAAATCCATGGGCATGGATATTCAAGCAAGATGCCACGGATGCCAGCACTGCTATTAGCTGGACATAGGTGTTTGTGGAAATGAGATGAGTGGAAAATTCCATTGTTCCTGTACACTGCAAAATGAGACGTGCAATGTGAGGTACAGAAGGTATCATGTGAAAAAATTGCTGGGGGAAAAAATAGTGTTTTAACATATTTCATAAAAGATCATTCACAAATCCCATCCCTGTCCCTTAAGGCTGAGTTTTTAAAATACATTTTTGTTCTATCTTTCTGAGCACATCTCAGCCAAACAGGATGATTTCAGGAGGCCACTACCATCAAACTATTGATCGAATTCATTAAAAAAAAAAAAAGAGAAAAAAAAGGAAGCAGCACTTCATTTTTTGTTGATGAATATTGTGCAGACAGAACCCTGCCTACTGCCATAATAAGGATAAAATTTCTCTATGCCTTGATTTGCACAAGATGTTGTAAAAGAAAGAAAAAGTAGTACACAAGATGGATCGTTTTGTTGGGCTGAAATGTGATTTGTCATTGCCAATGACAGGCAGACTCCAGCAAATTCAGCAACAGAAGTGTCTGTGGACTTTAAAGATTCAGTGTCAATACTGCTTACAAAATTCTAGAGTCTCAGCCCTTGTTGTGTTTCCCCGTTGGGTCAATCATTTCACTCATGAAGGAGTAGCAGCACAAAGTCTCAAGTAGCCTGCTCAAAACTTTCTTATAGGCATTATGTAGGTGTGTGGAGAATAAGTTTAAAGAAGTTTTTGTTTGTTTTTTTTTTTTTTTTCAATCAGACACACTTTTCCTGGTGTTATGCAGGAAGGAGGAAGAGCTGACTCCAGCACGGGTTGCACAGTCAATTTGACAGATAACTGCTGT